ACAACATTGATATCAATAATTTAAAATAATACAAATTGAACTGAGGTTGGTATTTTTCAGCCGTATAATTAATGCCATCATCAAATGATAAGTTGTTTGCTGTGCTAACTGCTTTATTTTGGCTCCTGCTTCTCTGTAGCCTGTCGAAGGTTATCAGGAACAGTGTTCAATAAGTTTTTAACATCAGTCATTTTTTTAAAGTCTTGATCACAGTTAACTGGATTTACAGCAATCTGAACCTAAGTAGCCTAACTATACTCTCTGTGACACTGGTTGCTGTTCTAATCTGATCATTTAATCTGATTCAAATGTCAAGTTTTCAGCTCATATCGTGTGTGTATGTGATAGATTAAGTTGGTTTTGTGTTTGAAAAAGTTTTTTTTCTGTTTTAYTTTATATTTTCTCTTGTTCATTATCATCAAATGCCACCTAAGTACAACAGAGAAACAGGTAACTGGAGTAATAGTTGGTCCTGGATTGTCTTTGTCTCCATTTCTGTAGCAGCACATGCGAACTGTCCACASTGCATACGTAATTTGGCCTAAGAAGAAACCTGTGAAGTCGTTTCTGAAACTTCTGAGTCCATCCAAGTCCTACACAATCCCTTTCAGAGTAAGTCAGGATCTGATCACAGAGGCTGTTGTTTGATTTTTGATTGCTAACACTGATCTGATTTTGCAGATGATCATGGTTAAAGAGGTCCCAGAGCTTTACAACTACATTGATCGAAGCCAACTCCCAGCATCCCTCGGAGGATACTTCATGTACTGTCACGAGAACTGGGTCAGCTTCATTAAGGTGGAGTTTTACTTTAAATATTTTGAAATAATTTAGGTCACAGCAGTGAATCCTCTTCAACCAGTTTGAATCAAGTGTTTCATGTTCAGTGTATTGATTAGTTTTGTGGTCTTTGATCCACTTAGATTCTGCCAAACCTGGAGCTGGCTTTCCACACTATTAATATATTTTTTTTCTTCAGTTTGTTTTTCAGCATGTATTTATTTTACAGTTTATAAATCAAAACGTTCAGCTCTTTCATTACAGGAATTTCAGCTATTTATATATTTTTTAAGATATTTAACTTTTTCTATTTTCTCATAAAAATTGGCAGCCTTCAACATCCTTAAAACCCTTCACATTATTCTTAAAGCTTTTTTGATTTTGCATTTTTGAAAATTTGTGCTATTTTTTGT